GCTCCCGATGTTCATTCTATCACTATCCAACACTCTACAAACTCATTCCTTATTTTTCCCTATTTTCCCCATCATTCCCGACAACCCCAAGAAAAATTCCCACGCCCAACCACGCCGCCAATTTCACCCCCTCTCCACATCTCAAGAACCACTGCACCAATTGGGACGAATAGGGGCTCGTTGGAAAGCTGGAGACGAGGAGGTTGCTGACGGGAGGATAGGCGGGCGCTGTGGCGAACTGTTGCGGAGTTAATTTTCACAATTCCCATTTCGGACCCGTTGTCACATATTCCCCATTCATTCATATTTCTTTTATTGTTTCTTTGTTCCCAATTGGATATTCATCATTTACGGTTGCCTAACAGCCCGTTTACATTCCCCCAGTCCATTCATTTCATTTCAAACATATATAAACTAGATAACAACTTGTACATAACAAGTTAGTATTGAATAGACCCGTGAAGGGACAAGCAGAAGTTGCATCCAAGTGGCAAAGACGCCATCCATGACCCTAACGCCCCCTCTGAGCTAGTTGCTCACGTCTAAGACCCCTCACATCATAATACTCAGCCTTGACGTCCAAGAGAGATGTAGGTGAGTGTTTGTTTGAGGTTTTTGCAGACTCAGTAGCACCCACGGACCAAGACCCGGCCTCACGAACCACACTCGCACACACTACCACCCTCCCCCTTCTCTCTGTCTCGAGTCTAGGCGATAGACCCATTACAACGTCAGGAACGAGCACTTATGTACTCGAACCCTCCCCCAACGTTGTACTCAAACCCACCTATGATGTACGTGAGCCCACACCCTGTGGCGTATTCAAACGCCCCACCTCTGCCACAATACCCCCCTCCGACGTATGCACACTCGTCGGTGTACAAATCCGCCCACGCACCACCAGTGTGAGGGCATGCTCCCTCCTCTTCTCATGGACGCGGCCATCCTGCGCACCATGTCCATTACTCGCACCGTCGTCAAGACGAGGATTCGTCCATGAATGACGCTGACGTCGAGACTCATCACTACGATGACAACTATCTCAGCGACGATGTCGCTGTTGACGCAGCTAGGTCCATGACGACTCGTAGGACTACGTCGAATCGCCCATCCGGCTCTGGCCCGTCCAGGTCTGCACCGCATAAACGAATGAGGAACTGACCCCCTCATATCCATACCTTCGTCAACGACAATGCCGTCGTTGATTAATAACTTCTTACCTTCGTCAACGACAATGCTGTCATTGATTGTATATTCTGTACCCTTCATCGTTGATTATTCATTTTCTTCGTCGGCGACAACTCTGCCATCGACAACCTGCACTGTCAACATCATCACAGTGGACGATGGTACTCACAACAACGAGAAAGTCGTTTCATCATCGACAACACTGTTGTCAAGATCCGGGTGCATATGTTCCAGGAGAAACTCTAAGTGGGCTTCGCCTACAAACTACTATTATAGCCTCCTGCAATGAGTGTGCCCCCATTTGCATACATCTTTTGTATGTAGAATGTTAAAATTTTATTTCTTTAAAATGCTTGCTTTCCCCTTGTGTATATATGCTTGTACCCTGTCTGCGATTTAATATCGCAAGGGAGGAGGATGTGAGGCCCCGGCCCATGTCTATATTCCGCCCACAACATCAGTTGATGTTGTGTTGTGTAATAATTATGTCGCGACACTAATTTAGCGTCGCAGAAGCTTCTCTATTTATTTGTGCCGAGAATGTATTAGATTGTATATAAACCCTCGGGGTAGCTGTAAAAGGCGGATCAGCCTTTACTTCTACCCCATTAATATACAGCAAATCCAAGCATATACTTTGACGGACATCTGAGGCCTGAGGTGAATGGGGAACGGAACGTTACCGTCCCCAAACTAGTAAGATACTTTTCACACTCCCACCTGCTTTATTTTTGTTTTTGCTTTTGTTCTAACCACCTGAGGGACAGGTTACCTGGGGACTAGGGCCACTTCAGGGGGAAGTGGCTTAGAGGGAGGGTGATGTCAGGGCACATACCCTGACTTAGCCCGGACCCGGACCCGCATCCGGACCCACTCCACTTCCCGCATGCACTTCCCACACCCCATGATCCATGCACCACATGCTCCGGTCCCTGGATCCTACCTTCATGTGACTTCCGGGTATCCCCGGAAGTTTTCACCATATTGGGGCCACTGTGGGAAAGTGAGAAGTTAACCTTCTTCTCACTTTCTTACCCACAGTAGGTTGTGCCTTAGGATAGGCTGTTTACACACAGGGCTGTGGGCTATAGAGAGAGGGGTCATGGGGACCCAGGGTCCATCCCCTGACACCAAGTCGCTGAGGCCGCATCCTTCTTAGAGCCTCTTGTACCACCCAGCAGACTTGGGCTTCCTGGAGAAGCTTTGGTTCACTACCAGAGCTCTTGGAACCCCTCTAGTTGAGCCCTGCCTGCATTCGGATTCACACACGTTACCCTCATTCGGGGTTTTTGACAAACGCCTGTGCTATCATCCAGGCAGTATCAATGGCCGAGAGTAGGCAGGCATTCAGATTCCGCATCGTGGGGATAGGCATGTTGCCCCCATTATTTACACATGTAGTGTTAGAGATGAGGCGCGGATTCAGACGACTCCAGAGTGGAATTGGAGACTTAGCATGGAAGGACCTTGGCCTCAGTGACTCAAGCGGAGCGCTGTGCCATTGCTGTTTGTCCATTTGGTCCTTAATTTCACAGTAGGTGAGCAGGAAGTCTCTAGGGGGCATTTCAGGTCGATTTCGGACTGAGCCCAAAATGAGTATGTACAAGCACCGATATATATAATGGAGGGGGCAAAAGCACAAGGAAACAAAGGGGATCCGAATCGGAACGAAGATGTCCGAATGGGAACAAAGGGTAGACAGAAGCGGAGCGGTACCGAAGGTCATAAGGCAGAACCTGTGATACGTCCGAAAGGAGGTAGGGAGGGCGAGGCCCAGAGGGGCAGGAGGATGAGGAGAAGTGGGGATGATGACTAACTGGCTAAAATGGGAAGAAGCAGCAGTCCAAATAGGGATGAGGGGAAAACGCGAGAGATACATTACAAGCGGCGAAAGTGCTGAAGATGATCCGCGAAGCTCAGAGGTTGCAGAGCTTACGGAGGCGGGGTTGAAAGTCCGAGGAATATTGGCAATGGTGTTTACTGTCAGGGCACACACCCTGACTAGCCCGGACCCTGACCCGCGTCCGGACCCGCTACGCTTCCCACGCACATTCCCACACCGCATGCTCCGTGCGCCGCATGGTCCGGCCCCGGATCCTGCCTTCATGTGACTTCCGGGTATCCCCGGAAGTTTTCCTGATATGGTGGCCACTGTGGGAAGATGAGAAGTTAGCTTCCTTCTCATCTCCTTACCCACAGTAGGCAAGTGTACCTTACCTACTGTTTATCTATTCATCTCCTTACCCACAGTAGATTGTGCCCTGGATAGGGCTGGCCAGACCTGAGGCTGTGGGCCATAGGGGAGGGTCATGGAGACCCGGGAGTCGTCCCCTGACATTTACGTAGTATGAGGTCACCAATGCAATGGACTAAGACCAAGGTGGAGTCAAAGTCCGAGGTAGGGACTATGATGGAGGCTCGGAGCAAGGTATGAGCGGTGCGTGTCAGGGACAGCTCCGAAAGCAGCAAGGTCCCGGCGTGAGGGACTTGATGGGACAGGTGTCGGCTATGCATAGCGGCGGTCCCGTTGTGGGGTGAGCGTCCCCAACCACTTAGTCTGAAGTGGGAAGTTGGATTATCATTAAAAGGGGGGAAGCTACAGTACTTACCTGAAGTGGGAAGTTGAGAAGAAGGCTACTTCTTCTGTTCCCACCCCAGGTGCTATTATATACATGCGGTTGGGGTCACGTGGGAGGAGCCACGTCATCCCCGCACACAGCCGCACTCCCCTGGGTATCTCTGTGGGAGATCCCAGAGGTGTGCTGCTCTGTGAGCGGGAATGCGCGCAGCGATCGGGGAGCGGGGTTAGGTGTGTAGTAATACATAGAGAAGGGGAAGTCGACCATGGAACGGAAATAGAAAGAAAGAAGAAACAGGGAGTGATAGCGGGGGAGCGGAGTAGGGCGGCGCGGCACAGGGTCAGGTGGGGTGTGCCCTGACAGTGCCCGAGTACGAAGTACGGGACAGCGGTGGAAGGTCGTAACTTGGCGGGAGGTCAGCGGAAGAGTACTAGAGGGAAGAGAGAGGAGAAAGGGAAGAGGGAGGAGTGGCGGAAAGGAGTGTTGTCAGGTCCGAAGGTGAGTATCGGAGCGGACGGGAGAAGCGTAGGAGGATGACGGAAGGGTGGAGGTGTTGTGAGGGAGGAGCGGAGGAGTAGTAGGAGGGTGGCGAGAGGGGTGGTGTTCAGTCTGAGGTGAGTATCGGAGTGGACGGAGACAGGGGAGGAGAAGTGGAGGTGGCATGGGAGGTAAAAGGAGGTGTGTTGCCAGGACCGAAGGTGAGTATCGGAACGGACAGCGGTAGGGTAGGACTCCGGAGGTGGGGAAGGAGGAGGTCCGGAAGTCGGGTCGGGATCGGGTATGCACGGATATGACATGTAGGTGATTCAGGGCTGATGGAGCAGCACAGCTAGGTGGGGGGGACTCAGGTGGTCTCTTCCTGGTGTTGATGCCGTTCATTTCTGACGTGTTTGACTCAGTGATGTGTGACGACGGAGTGTTTTTGTGCAGGGAAAGGTTGGAAAAATGGGGTAGCCGCTCGATGGCTATACTGAGGCCCAGGTGGTTTGATTGCACGTGAGTGTGGGAATCGGATCCCGCTTTGCTGCGTTATCGGCGTATGCCGGGTTGCATCACGATTTCATATCAGTATTGATGATTGTGACCCGCGTGTAGACCGAAATGCCAATGAAACCAAGATCAACAGTTTCCCTGGGTCAGGGGATGGGTGAGTTGAGCCTGGTCGGTAGTTATATCTAAGAAACATCCAGGGTTGCCCCTCGTCATCCCTCCCTCCGCTACGCAACCCTCAACATGGCCATTCAACCTCTCTCGAGCCTGACGACTTCGACACGAAGAATGACTGGTGAAGTTCCTCCGGTCCTCGTAGGAGCATCGACTACAGTCGTAGGTGACAGAGTATATCTTTTTGGCGGTCGTCTCGGCGCAACTCGACGATTGACCTCTGACCTGTACGTCCTCGATCTGCGTACTTCCGAGTGGAAGAATATCACACCCTCGGAGAGTGGCAGCGCTCCGCACGCCCCAGCCTCAAGATACTTCCATAGTGCGGACAGTTGGAACGGTTTTCTTGTTATATTTGGAGGAGTGGGATACGTCTCGAACAACAATTTCCCCGGCGTACTCAACGATGTGCGATTCTTCTCACTTGTACAACACCGATGGATCCCAGCCGCTGAGACAAACCCCCTACCTCCGAATGTGTCACCCCATTCTTCTTGTATTCCTACTCATGACCCACTAATTCCTCGACCGCGTTATGCGCACCTCTCCTCAGTCACTGATTCGAGATTGTTCGTTATCGGTGGACAAGACATGCCCTCCCAAGACTGGCTTGATGATATTCATGTCTTTGATCTCTTTCAAAAACGGTGGATCGAGCGGAGAGAGTATCCGCGACATTGTGGGATGTATAGGAGCCTCGCCACCGCGCCGCAAACAGTGATTCGTGACCCTGTTCGCGAAGGGGTTCCAACCAAAACAGATGAGCTTGCATTTTTCCCGGTGGGGAAGGCCACATCCCCAGCTACAGCGTGTTACCTCCCCACCCACCGCAAGGAATCTCTGATCGGCTCGTCTTTTGCCCATACTCCGACGTACCATCCTTAGAGCGTCCCGCTGAGATTCATTTGTACAGCAACTATAACGTACGCCTTCTGGGACTTGTTTCTGACCATACCATAGTGTAACATTGTCCCCGTAGTTTTCCGATGTTAAGCGCGAACTTGAAGTGTTGACGCCAACCGAAAAGTCGTTTTATACCACGGACAGATCCGATATGATGAACGGATCATCCTTCCCACCCGGTCTCCGATTTCCTACTGGAGCAATCCTAGGAAATCACCTCATCATCGCTGGGACTTATCTGTCTCAGTCCTACCAGTGTTATTCCATATGGGCACTTGACCTAAACGAAATGACGTGGTCACGCATTGATACTGGAGCTGTTCTTGCAACTGGTTCCTGGACGCGTGGCATATTGTGGGGGGATGCTAATACGTATGTCATTTTTGGAAATCCTTCGGGGAACATGGTTGAGGACTATAATCATCGCATCCTCAACTGGAGCCATGCTGTGCACGTTGAACTTGAAACATTTGGGATTTATACTTTCCCCACCCTTCAAACCCCTGTCAAAGGCCAAGTTCTTGGCCTTGACGCCTTGGAAGCTGAGCTTTTTGCCGATTTTGAAATCCTTTGCGAAGACGGGAGGAAAATTAAATGCTCTCGTAAACTTGTAGAAGAACGTTGGCCGTGGTTCAAGCGTCAGCGGATCAACTATGTCGAAGCTGCAAAGAAGGTCGTCTCGACGCATATCCTGACCGACATTGAAGATGTTCCTCTCCAGACTCCTTACCTAATGAACTCTTTGCCAACCCGGAAGACCGACCCGATCCCAGGCTGACACCGAGGATGTTGCGCCTCTCCGAACCGTATCCGATCACGAAGGCGTTGCTGCAGTACTTCTACTCTGGGAGCCTGATCACTCCATTACAACATGCCCCCCTTGTACTCAGTGCCTTGCTCCTTCTCAGCAACATTTACGAGTTGGCACACTTAGCTAAACTTGTGAAACATGCCATGCATCAGACTCTTTCGCCAGCTACAAGTGTAGATGTGTACGAAGTTGCCACATTGTGCGACTCACAAAATCTACAGATTCGGTCAGTCTCCCGTTTCACCATTTTACAGAAATGGATGCACTTTTCTAAACAACTTGCTGTAGGGCTTTGCGCATGGTGCTGGGTTCGAACAGGAATGTGACTCAGCAGAGTGGGCAGGACTACTTGCGGTCTTACGCCGCACGATTGAAGTTCACGTCTCAGGACAACATACAAACAATTTTTTACGGAACCAGAACGAATGGACGGTGCACTAGCGCACAGTTAAATCAGGATCGTGAGAAAGAAACGCCAATGCAGAGTTCGAACGCGAACATTACATGCCCGGATGTAATCCATGTCGGAACGATGCAGCGATGGAATGACTCTGACACGAGAGGTCTCCCACCAACGGATGCGAAGCTGCCGCCGGCCTCACGCCCAGATTTCCGACTTAAACGGGAAGGTTCATTGATACCCACACGGGTGTCATCATTATCACTGGCGAAGCCTGTGGTGCCTAACCCAATGCACAAGCGAGCGTCGATGAACCCGGCCAGTCTAAAACAGCGCCCGAACAAAACCGCCTCCGGGCAACTAACCGATCAGACTAAGATTATAAACTCTTGTGCTCAAATTCGCCAGGATGTGTCTCTGCCACCCTTCCCTCCTTTGGATCGCACTGACCTCCATACCTCCCCCCTCGAACCTCACGCCTCCACGGAGGAGCCACCTCAGTTTCTTCTTATGTCGCCCACTGAATTTCCTCACAACGTATCCTCTTTTGTTCAACCATCTCGCGAAGTCTCTAGGCAGCAGAGTGCTGATACCCTTGGCTTGAGACATTCTGCTAAATCGTCCCGACCGAGATCATTGAGTGACGCAGGTCCCTCACGTCCATACGCTGATGACTCTGTCCAGAGCATCTCGTCACTCGCAACTAGCATCGAAAGAACTCGGGACGTCGTCTTTATTGAAGCGGACGATGCGGACCCCCCTCGCGCGGGCAAAGTCTCTCTCCCTCCAAAAGCACTCAAGATACTCGGAAATGACGACATTCTGCCAACCCCCGATAGCTTCCTTTCTGATACTCATCCGGATCAACACTACGCAGCAGAAGTTCAGTCTATCTCTGGGACGAGCGGATCCGGTCGGTCGACAACAACCCAGAAGAGCGGGAAATGGAGTCGACTGCTTTCACGATCAACTGATTGGTCTACCCCCGCAAAGAAAAAGAAACCCAAACACAGCCTATTCAAGGGCTCGTACCTCGCCACAGAGGGTCATTACCAATTCATGTAGGCGGCTGGCGATTCATCCCGAACGTGGCGATGCTGGTAGGGAAAACTACATTCTGAACCACCATTCTTCTTGATCACCTCCCAGGCTATTTTATTATTCCCGCCCTCCAAATTCCATGAGTTTTTGTCCAACAAACTAAATTATTGGCGAGCTTTTGCACTCTTCATTCCCTACATTCCTGCGCCCCAAGGTCAGCCCTGTTGATGCTCCGCTCCACGCCCCTCGCATGTTGCCGCGTCTTTTCGGAGCCGCGCCAGCCCGATTTCTAGCTTTGGAAATCGTTACTTATCCAGCGCTCATGCGATTCGCTTATGCGTTGCTTCCCCAGTCGCTTTGTGGCACGCCTTCCCTCCGTACATACCCTGGCAGAGTATGTCTCCCCCATCACCGACGGCTGCTAACAATGTGCCAAATCTCTCGCAACACCTTATCCACTTATCAGTGTAGTTATATATGCTTGTACATCCTTAACAAGAAAACTTCCCCATGGATAGCTCCGTCTTCCGTCCCTCTTCCGGGAGCGTATGTACCCAATATGGATGACTTGGTGTTCGACAACCCACGAAACAACCCGACCCGCCAGCAACACTTGATTAATCAATCGCAGTGTTCCACTGGATCATTGCGTCACAATATTGCTTGAAGCACGAAGCACGAAGCATACAGCATTGCAGAGGCACACGGTCATGGTCCAAGCAACGAAGTGGTACAAGGCGAACATCTCATCAAACAGTGAGAAACGGATCTAGTCAAGAATAATATTCGAAATCTCCGCATACAATATAATGAAGGCCCAATATCTATACTCTTCTAAGGCCTAATCCAAATTGCGACACGAAATGAAAGTCACGTCAATGGCTAAAATAACCCCATCACATTAGAAAAAGATAAGTTCTAGTTGTAATGAATCTATTAAAATCAATCGAATCTGCTATCCTTGAATTCGTGGGGGACGGAGGCCATGTCATGAGATTGATGTGGGTTTCCAAGACTTGGATTTTTCAGGTAAAGGGCAGTCGGGGAGGGACTGGTCGGAGAGACGTTATTCAACGGCATACCTAGAGCGTTGATGTGTTCGAAGTATGATTCAACGTTGAAATGGGAGGTGGTGGCATTTGGGATCGATGAAGGCTCCGAATACACGACATCGCTTCGATGGCGATGTATCAGCTCGAGATGAGCATTCGGGTCGAAAGTGGTGTGTCCAGTTTCAGATGCATAAGCCTCGGAAAAGCTCATGGCTCCTGGGGAGGAACTCGCATCAAACCCACTACTGTAAATTCCTGACCCGATAGATGATGAGGGGCTATAAAGGTCGTCATCGAAAGGTGAAATGGAATGAGATTCCTCGTAGGCAATATGACCAGAACCGTGGCTCCCCCTGGCCTCAATGCGATCCCAGGCAGGCAAATCGGTGGCATCCATCATCTCGGAAGGACCGGCTCCCCCAAACCCATACTGAACCGAAACATCACCAAGCAAGCTAGATAGGTTAAGAATCTCTACCAACATGTTAAGACTTTATTAGTGGGACATCCACTTCGCGAAAGACGGAAATCCCATACCATTGGTAGGTCGTTGGCGCACAGCGGCAATCCATGACTTGCAATGCAATCTGGCTTCAGAGAGTTTCCTTTGATCCTTGTTGAGGCAATATTGTGTTACAGGGCAACGATTCATCGACCAGAAAGATGTACCTTGAACCAAGCAGGACGCTTGGGTTGCTTGCGCAAGCACTCCAAGTCAAACTTAACGCACTCTTCGCAGGCACCCGCAGCTGAAACACCTGGGCATTTCTAATCGTAAGAAAAGAGGGGGATAAGCCTCATGGCGATACGCATGAAGTAAGAGCAGCGCTTGCCTTCTTGCGAATTCTCTGGCAAGTATAGCAATCAGGCACGTTGGATTGGGAAGAATTCATGTTGGGGTGGCCGGGGAAGGATGGCTGGTTGGAGTGGCCCTCGAAGTCGCGAGACTTTATACACCCTTGACGTGCGTACGATCAATGGACATAATGGAAGACTAAAACACTGCAAAGATGGGCGCGCCTAATTCATTCGGCTACAGTCAATCGTCGCATACAAGCCAAATAAGTTGCACTCTGAAACAGTAACAGTGAAGGGTGTCGAGGAAATTGATGTAACGATTGAAGATGGCCGGACAAAGAACACAAGGTCGATCGATATAGAAGCGATTGATTTTTTCACAGGTCAAATAGAGCGTATAGCGCCTAGGAACGGATGAGCAGCAAATACGAGGAACGCGAGGCAAGATCAACGCCATCATTGCGCATTTGATGACTCGGTATTTATATTAGATCCATTAACCGATTCAACCAACCAAAGTCTGATCCAGACAAGTAAACGCATATGTTTGAATACTAGTACTTGCTGAGCACTGCCAAGTCAATGGCGAAGGCGGATAGGCCGGGACAAAGATCTGAGACGAAGCAGCGCTCCTCAGTCTTAAAGGGAAGTAATGAATCAATTTAGCCGTACCAAAGGATGTCCGATGCCCCGATGCCCTGGATATTAAATAGCCACTCATAACGCTTGGGTTTGACGCCGACAGGCCACCAAGCGAGTTGTTTCTACGCGGAAGAATGAATTTAATGTAGTGCAATCGGATCACCGGAGATGCAGGGTAAGTGGATCCGGAATGCCGAGATACTGATAAGAAATTCGGACAACTCCGCGTAAATCACCCAGAAAAGTCACGTCCGTTGATGCCGTAGGAGATCATTTGGGGTGTTTGTTTCAGCGGCGGGTAGCGATGTTACCAACAGACTCGCGCGCAAATGACTAACGTTGGAGTGTCCAGGCAGATGAAACACTCCATGGGTGTTGTTATGACTGGCCCGATGCACCTACTTAGGCGTAGTGCTCGGCGGCTACACTCGCCCTATAACGAGGGACGAAGGGAAAAACCAAAAGTTATTCTAGATAAGAGGGGCAATGGTCATGAAAGTCATTAGTTGTGTATATGCGGTACTTATAGTACAACAAGGCTATGTTAAGGGTTGGACCGGACGCTGCAGCACAAAATCAGATGCATCGGAGAGGCGGTGTCGGAATGGATGTGGGGCGCATCTGCGCCGCGTGTGGGACATGTTGCCGAAGTGGCATTATGACTTGTAATCCAGCAATGGGACAATGATGTATGAGTGTCTGCGTTCTAAACGGGGCCAAACACCGGCCTAGACAGGATCCCAGCCTCTACCAAACACTCGAGAAATACTCATGGGCAAATAAGGGGACGTACTTGAGAAATCAAAGAAATTTGGAGCCATCAGGTGATTCAGATACCCGCGTTGATCGAAACTGCAAGAGGAGTCGACATCTGTAGGATGTGCCTGAGAAATTAAAGGAAATATCGGACTATTAAATATGATTTGATCATTATATGTCACTGAACGGTGTGGGGGTGATAGCTCAGTTGGTAGAGCGCACGCTTCGCAGGAGTGACTGCGTGAGGCCCAGGGTTCGACTCCCTGTTACTCCATGTTTTGCCGCAAATATATACATAGTGCCATGATATCTGCGCATGCTTCAAAGTGTACCGGCATGATGAACGAGACTTAAACATAATCGACTTGGAATTGTTGGCGACTGACATTTGAAAAGCCATCGGCTAAATGCTGGCTTTCGATCATTGTCTCACTGACACATCACCAGTACCGGGCGTCTGGAAGTGATGTTATTTGAGCGGCACACAATATACATGCGGCGTAATAAGCGTTCGGTTATTTTCAAGTAAGCCGGCGGCCGACCAGACACGAGGACCAGCAGTGAATGACCCCCTGGATTCGCCGGTAGGGAGGGCCACGAATCGTTAGGGACTCCAGACCATCAGCCACACATCAGTCAGCGAGCAATAAGTTTCCAAATGACCCGGCTGACATTAGAACGTCTAATGTCAGTGCAAACGTTCTGTGGGGTGCGGTGGAGTGCGAACGAAACAACGCCAATCAACACTGTCAGGTACTTACAAGGTCGCAAAATGTTTCACCATGCACCCGATCTTACGCGACCCCATGCATCATGGGCTGGAAGATTTCACTCCGATCGTTGGTCCTAAATGCGGTTGGATGCTGATTAGCGCTGGAACGAGCTGGTGCGTGAGCGCCCAACATGTCCCTTTTGAGTTGTCGCATGAATGCGCTCGATCAACGCCATCTGTGGCCAATTAGACACGAATATGTCCTATGTAAGTTTTCCTCATCCTTGTGTCCCAAAGGAATTCTTTAGCGAGCGGCTTGCACATGTTCTCAGGAACATGGTTGATGACTGACGGATGTTCTAATGATCGATCCAACACTGTGACACCATTCATGATTCTGGATCTAGGGTGTCTTTCGAATCATCGTTAACCTCGATCCGGATCAAACAACGCAGATTCCCTGGCCCTGTTGGGACGGATGGAGATACTTATTCTGTCCCCTTGCTAATTTGGTTTGCCATATTTTTCTCTGCCGAATCCCACTGTCTGAAGTCCCTTTGCATCATTAATTCTTGATGTGAACATGATAAGGAGTGCACGCGGGACTCCATTTCGCCCATTTGCCCCCTGCGACACCGCAAGGCACACATTTATTCCCCAGGTCGTCGCTCTACCATCGACTGTGTCTGTGCATGTTGCAGAGCGAGCTGATATTCAGGAGGAACCTGGCCGCCCGTCATTCGTCCGGCTTGCAAGAGAGCAGTGCGATTAGAGCATGGGTCATAGACCATTTTGAGAACACGATTAAAAGATTTGGGTGAAAGGATGTGTATACAGGTTCTAAAGGTGTCTAGTGCAATGGTATGCTGATGTGAAAGATACAATTAGGCGTGATGGTGATGCGGAAGCCACGAGGTCCTCAATTTATTTTGATCAGCTTCACCTCGAATTTTAAAGCGGCATCTCGCGGGATGATGGGCGGAAAGCCCTGTTGGCCGTAACACTGGACCAGGACGAATAAATGAGCGCATCAAACACAAAACTATAAGTGCAATCAGCCACGTACGTATTCAGAAGATGCATGAATGATGGCGCGCTCGCCTAGAGAAAGCCTGGTTATTCCTGCAGCACCCGAATGCATCGTGAGCACAAGCTCCAGCGTGGCATTGATCGACAAACCTTCATCCCAGCACCGTAACACGCTCCCAACACCGATTTGAAACATCATTGGGCCACGCTCGATGGAACTGTCAATCTAATGGTATCCCAGGTGAAAACAGCGGCATGATGCCATGGGAACCTCCATGCTTGCCTGCTGCCCATTCTCGAGACTGCCAACGTACTCGATCGTGACACGGTCTATTGCGTTGAAATACACATGATGCAGAGGGAAAGAATTCGATGTCCTTACCACCAGTCCTTGGGTAGGTCTAGATGACGATTTAGACAACTTGAGCGTAGAACCTTTGTTGCCAACTTACTTTGCCATCTCCGGGGGTGACTTGCGACACGATAAGAGGCATTTTGGATAATAAAGTGTGACGTGGACACGGAATAGATTAAGGCGGGCGAGATTCACGACAGAGACGCGTAAGAGTGAACAGCACAGAAGCGGGGGCGGAAGTCGAGGAGATACTCGGTGCGGGCTCATGAGGCAGCGGTTATATACCTAAGCTGTCGGCGCGGAGAAAAGATGGAAGCCCATTTCAGTTCGAGCTCGGCCATGCGAGACTAGAAAATCAGTGTGCTTGGAAGCCATTTTCACAAGAATATTTATTGCTTTAGCCCCTCATCAGTCTATCATCTCAGAATTACCAAATGGGTCATGGATACCAATTCGGCAGTCACAACCCCCAAATAAACGGAGACAATTCTTTCGCAGCTTGAGCCTTTTTCTTGAATGCATATATCAATCTAGACAGAGCTGAAACAAGAGACTTCAGAAAGGCCGTTCAATCGCTTCCTAGGGTCTCAAGGTCATCCAGCGGGGACGTAAGCGAGTGGCAACAGCGTCAGGTATCTCCGCCGAGCTTTAGTCTCCCGAAGTTGGCATAAAGGCGCATCCTGCATGTAGCCCTCGTGTGGTAAAGCAGGACATGAGAACACGGGATGCCCGATGTGTGCTCGACATCCTGACTATACATTTAGATTTGATACCCCCGATCTGAATTCAATTCGTAATTGCAGGGGATGATGTTGCACAGTGCAGAATTGCTGAGACTCGATAATTAGGAAGTGTGAAGATGGTGAGGTTATGGGGTGCCGAAGCCCCTTTGTCTCCGGCTCGCTATCGCAGGAGTCATAATTCGCACTGAGGATGAGAGACGGAAACTGTGCGAGAAACAGCCTGTGCCACCTGTTGCAGTTTGGTCATGAACCAGATTGAACTCACAGCGGTCGGATTCTGCCGCGTCATGAGTTGCAAATGAGATATGCCACCACTCGGTTCCCACTTTTTTGTCATCGCACATCCGATACGTTCGAACGACACGTAGCGAACAGGCTTCGAGCATCTAGGGAAATGAGTGATACTTCCGCCCCCAATGCAAAACTCGTCGTCACTACCCATAATCAATACCAATCAGAAGTGACTTTGAGGCCTGGGGATGTGAAGTCTTCCCCGCTCGACCAGTTTCGTGATTGGTTCCTAGAAGCGCAGAACAATCCAAGCGTTGCTGAACCCGAGGCTGTTTCGCTATCCACGGCAACACCGTCAGGGGTGCCTTCATCCCGCATGGTCCTCCTCAAACAAGTTGATGATAGAGGGTTCAAGATCTACACGAATTATACATCCAGGAAATCTCAAGAGCTAAAGGCTAATCCTCACGCTTCCCTTAACTTTTATTGGAGGGAACTACATAGACAAGTCCGTGTGGCGGGGCTTGCGGAAATGGTAGATCGGGAAGACAGTGAAGACTATTTCCGATCACGCCCGATAGGCAGTCAGATTGGTGCATGGGCCAGTAGGCAAAGCTCTGTCGTCGGCGAGAATGAGGTGTTGGCACGGTTTTCTCAATTAGTGAAAAGGTTTGACGTGGAGGAAGGACGGGGAACTGTGCCAATGCCGGAATTCTGGGGAGGTTGGAGGATAGTGCCCGAGTAGGTCGACGGATATCAACGCAGATCTACGGCTCACCACTTCATTGTTAGGGAGGTTGAGTTCTGGGCTGGTAAACCTAGCCGGCTCCATGATCGCATTCGTTACCGTCGAGACCAAGGGGACACTTCTCATTGGATTATCGAGAGACTCGCTCCGTAACTTGTACTCGCACCGTCAGGATAACACGTTTGTTGTTGGTGTTGGGCCCAATCATCTTCCAGACACCATCGTCTGGTGATCGGGCGAAATGCCGTGTCGATGTATCGCAACTTGCTGCCTTTGGTAACTCGAATTAGAATACTCTTTGGTCTAACAGGGCAAACCGACCCTGTTTTCCGAAAAGATCGTGGGATTCTGGCAATGTTCTTCACGTTCCTTTTCTCGCTATCTCCGTGCTCTGGCCGAAGGGTACGTTCTGTCGACAGCTAACAGTATCTATACTCAATGCCCTCAGGCGGCATGCACTGTGTGGGACCTGCGAACACGTTGTTGGTCACGCTACTACTTGCACCGAGAATCTGAATGAACCCTCAAGCATCACAGTTGAATAATTGGTGAATCCAATCAGACGACGATTCTAGCAGCTGTATTGCTTTACTGTGGCGACGCTGATTCTGCGTTTCATCGCATCAGAGCGCGGCACCTCCCAACCGTAGGGAGCCCGTCCGCCTTCAATTTCCAATTATCATTCATTTCTCATGCTCCTGAACTACCAAACAAGCGAAATTTGGACTGAGAGGTAGGGAGTATGCTTTTCTATTGTCCTCCTACACGTGGTTCTGACGACTAGCCCGCCCAGCCATCGCGGGTTCTGCATCAAGTGCATCCACCACCAACCTGTCCGACCTCTCAGGAGGATCATGGTGACTTTCGTCACTTGGGGTAGATAATTTTGCCTCCATTTGTAGCTCCAGCCTTTCTAAACCAGAGATGATAACGTGGGGGATCAATCGTTTCCCACATATACCATCTACCCACCGTGCCATCGCGACGTAGCCGATCAGCTCCATGAGTACTCCGTGGATGCACGAGCAGGTAGCTTTGTTACACACGTCCACACCCCCCAATTCAATCGCTCTCCGCCGATTGTTGGCCGCCTCGTCTATAACTTTGCTCGGTTCCCAACGCATCCGCACCAGCACCGTATCTTCGATGTACCATCACTTCCATCCCTCGGCCAACTCCTTCGGTTCTCCGATCTCCATTATCCCCTTTCCATGGGAGAAATCAAAGCCGTACCTGTTGATCAGTGTTCTATCCAGGTTCCTACATATTGTCCCGCGGAGACATTTTCTGGAGTAAACCTTTCGGAGTCACAGAACTCTACTCTGGTTCCATAGAAGAGATTTTCCACTTGGAAGAACGCGAAGGCAGCACGGATCACACGTTTTGGCTTGTGGGATTTGCACATAATGTTGGTACGCAGGCCATCAACTTCGTGCATTCATCTGTTTTGAACAAGGGGAAGTACGTAGCTGTTTGCCCAGATAAATGCGTGCATTCCTGTCGACCCGAAGACGTTGGTCCCTGTGCGAGGCTAAGGCGTGTTCACATGGCTTTTCGAATTAAACTTTCGGCTTGATTATTTATCCTCCGCACCGAGCTCCGCGAACCCTTGTGACAAAATCAATGACCCGATCATTGAAAATCGTCTACCAAGGACCTGTAGTCCATAGCAATTGTTGTCTACGCCCTTCGCCAGTTGCTGAAGTAACAAATCAGATAGTGTGTGGTTCGGAGGTGGATTTTTCTACTTTAAGTTTCGTTGACCAGGCCGGGCCTGGGGCCGATTGTGAGAGCGTAGTAGCTTGGGATTTTAATGCTGTAAGCGCTGTGTTGCTGATTAACCCAAGGTGTTGGAGTGAGCTGCTCGTGCGAAGATGGCCTTTAGGTGCATATGATTACGCTTACTCGTCGTACTCGGCGTCACCCACTCGACCGCATACATGTATACAAGCCCTTAAGCCGATCGAGGTTAAAATCCTGATAGACGCCTCACTGATGGCTGCAACTTATTTGCATTCCGGCCGTGCGGACGCACTCAGGCGGACTCGTGTCCTATGCGCGCGCTCTCGTGAACAACTGGAAAATTTCCCGTCAATACAATCATCGTCAACGATCCATCATATCATATGCATCCGGTCCCGAGAAGCTCTTGAGGGTATGAAAAATCGACTCATGAATATTGTGAACTCTGGATTCCACAGAAATATCACTAGTGGATGTATCGTGAACGTTTTGATGAACGAGGTCATTCTGACATGTGACAATGATGGCATGTTTGAATCCCGGAACCCCCCGCGAACTTCACTGCACCAGCAAACTACATAGCTTCCGTTAAAGAGTACGTAGCCTCAAGAACTGTATACCTGTACGTTTCAGCATAAAATGCGCTATGGTGCACATGCTACATGATAGCTGGACAGTTCTGCTCTCATTTTTATTGTTCCACGCAAGTTGGTGCTGAACACATAGTTCTGCATCTGTATGGAAGGCCATCCTTCTGTAGGTCCAGCGTTCCTGGAACATGCAGTGCATCACGCCGAGGATCGGTTGTACTGATAGTTCCCTTCGTTACGAGTTCTCTCGGAGAAGTACCCTAACAGTCACAGTCATTGTTTCAAGCCTACAACGATATTCTGTATGGTAAGCTGGAGCGGATGCATAAGATGCTTGCCCTCACTTATGTCTTCACAGCCAGCAATGGATTGATGTCGAGGTGAAAGATATTTCTGAAGCTGGAAGAGCCGTAATTTCCGGCAAAATATCTGCAGAATGCGTTCACCATTCCCTGCAGGACCGTCTGACTGTGATCTTTGTATACGAAGGATATCTCTCGAGTTGTCGTTCCGTGTTCTCTGGCAGAGACGTTTACCATCGATTGGTGCGTCAATTGATTTCGAATGGGCGGAGGTGCTGATACTGCGACCGGAAGCTTAAGAAACTTTATATCCACTGCAGCCCTCAGACTAGAGAGTTTTTGTTGGCGATAGTTAGCGATGATTCCTCACTGGTGTATTACAAGATTAGTAAGGGAATTGTCAAGCCCCGATGTGACCAATCATCCTATGCAGCCAGTCCTTGTGCAGCGTGTTTAATTACGTCTGCTCGGTGATCGATTCCTCCCCAGGAAGCATGCTATAGCTTGACTGTCCTCTCCTCGGGACTCAGTTCTTTGGCTGCTTCGAGCTCGACTGCTGATTCATACGGCAATGCTGATGCACACGCTGCGCCAAGAACAAATGCAATACCAGAAGCGTACACCGGCAGGGATGTTGATATTGATAGCAATGGCCACCAATGAGTGGTGCAATCATGCCAGATCTGTGACAATGAGAAGGTTTGGGTTTGACGTTGGTTAGGGGTACAAAGCTCATAATGAAAGATTGACATACACCCTATTCAAAGCCGAGGCATTGCCGCAAGCTGTCCCACGCACTGCGAGGACCATGGATCGGAATGAACACACCCATTAAATTAGCTCGCTTACCTTCTGTTACAACATCTCCGGAGTCATTCTGACTCAAAATTAGTCGTGTCATTGCGTGGCCGAATTACGAAACTCACCCGTATAGAATCGCCACATAATTGTTTCGTCAACGATATCCCATTGATGTGATCACGACAGTGTCCGAGTATTCACCTCAGTGAACAGCCAACATAATATCGCAGTTGCAAACGTAACGAGGCCAGGAGACGCTTGCCTAAAGATGAGCGAACCATATATGCGCCAATCTGTAGTGGCGAAGATGAGGGAAGTAACCAAGGTAACATCAATACTCACAATTGACCAGGCATACCTCCTGCGTAAAGACAACGACATCCATAAAACGGCTTTCTTGATCAGATCGGCCGCTTTCAGTGCCTAGCCGCATTTCGACTAGTTGGGGAATAAACATTGACATTGTATATGCTGATTGGAGAGCATAATAATCACGACAAATCACACAACAAGGACTGACTAGGAGTGAACATCCATGTCCCCAACAGTAGAGTAGTTCGACGCCACCTATCAGTGAAAAGATCGAACTTTTTTTCTATCCAAGCATTGATGACACTGTAAATATTCGTGGCAAAAAAGCTTTGCGTTTGCTTGAGAAGCTCAGGGTATGGCAACACTGAAAAATATTGGGATAGGGCGCTTGGTGGATTGTGATGACTCAACATCCTATCGACTGCGGAGTAGAGATAGGATGATTGGTGAATGCCCAGGGACGTTGAAAAGATTGATGCCTCTCATTGGCTGTTCTGCCTCAACTCGTGAGGCTTGATATAGTTCAGCCGCTGCGTTTGAGAGCACAAATCAGAAGTTACGCTTACCACTCGATTAAGACCTGGGACTCAACAGCGATCGTCCACATCGTGCAAGCCAATTCCAATACATTTCCGTTGACTCTGATGATCTTGTAGACAATGACAGCTTCCTGGGGGGCCCAGCGTGAACCAAATAACGAGGGACTCATGGAGATGAGAAGAATAGTCTGGAAGCGAACATGAACGCCGTCTGGATTATCTTATCAATTAGATTGACATCTGAGTAAGTGCAATACCACATTATCGTCAAGACGAGAACAAGTATTTCCATCCATGTTTTGCTTTGCCACATACACGGTACTTTCCCTTTCATCCCCTAAAAACGACATGCCTCGGGACACGAATTATTCGGCACACAGTATAGCCACCACTGCAGCTACAACACCACGACGAGAAAAACACAGACAGCATCGTCAGGAGATATCGCTTCCGCTTCGGCACATTTCCAGAAAGAGTTCCGTCCTCGGTATGCTTCCCTACGATTGACAGAATGAACAAGGAATAGGAGTCTTGGCAAGAAGTGCCCACAAACCAGTAAAATTACCCGATCGCGGTCCCAAGAAGGAATAACGATACACAAAGGAGGGAATAAGTCGGAGCGATGCTAACGAGAAATCCGAAAATAGCTGAAAGAACAAAGTCGCATTGAATGCAAACGCCTTCCCAAAATCTGAAGCTGGATTTTGGGCAGGTAAGCAACGAGATAAGTCGATTATTTGTAGAATAGCTCACAATTTCCCAGCCACGGCTCCATATCAATCCCCCGAACATGGATGTTGATAACCATCTATGCGAGAGTTGAGACGTCAAAATGGTCCTGGACCCGTGGCAATGCTATTGTGACGGCCTCGAGCCACATCTACACGACACAATTAAGATTGTCTCCCTGTAAAAGCATTTCTGCTCACATTATCAGCCAGCCAGCCTGTTCGGCAGAGCGAGTTAGCGACCCGCAGTCCATCTAATGTGCTAAGCGCACGCACCGAAACCACATAATGCGAGAAGCGCCCATTGGTAGTATCCTGCACAAAAAGAGACAGCTGTCATGGACGACGTTCCAATTGTAATCCACGATGATCGCACCCATCCCAATCTTATCAATAGTGACGTCCAAGGCAGTCAGATCTTCGTCGCTGAGCCCCCCGGCCATTCCGAATGGTGACTCAGCGGTACCCCGTGCTGGGAATGCAGTTGTTTCCCAAGCATTCAGGTCAACGGCGTAGCGCCGGACTGGTGGAAGCACTGCCACTCGGTAATACCCTTCGCAGCTTCGGAATCCTTGGCATGCAGGATTGTCGTGTCTGTCAGTCATTTCAATGCTCGACAGCCATAACTACCTCGCCCAGCGGGGCTGGAAAGGGAAAGGTACTGGCCTTCGTCCAGGTGGGATCAGCAAACCCATTACAGTTGTCCAGAAGAAAACGCTTGCAGGCGTTGGAAAAGACAGAGACGAGGCTTTCCCCTTCTGGGAGCACGTTTTCGATGCGTCTATGAAGCTGTAAATATTAGAATACCCTCCGACACTGATTCAGACTCAGAAGCAGAGGGGAAAAAGGTTTGATCCCCATTATATATGACCCGCTGCCTAATTGATTCGTCCACCACAGGACACAAGGAGTGCAGCACCAGTCTTTCAACGGACTTCTACGGGGATCATATCAAACAGGAGACCCATTAATGGCGCATCTGTCCCCACCAGCACCTCTTCATCTGTAAACCTATCCGCTATTGCCGCAGCCAAGCACGAATCAGCTCGCAGGCAGCTATATTCACTCTTCGTCAGGGGCCCCGTCATTGGTGCAACTGACCCGAGCTCCACTTTTCCCTCAAAATCCGAGATATCCGGTGTCGATATTTGTCCCCCACCTCTCAGCACCTCTCGCTCACACTTGCCGCTGATGACAACCGAACCACTTTAAAAAATTCTCCCACCCCAAGGGAGTGGACACATAGTACAAACCCGCCATTGTCTCCAGGAGCAGCCCCAATAACCCATATAGACAGACCACCCTCCGAAAATACAGAAGATTTTTGTAGGGGAGCTGAAAAAAGGGCCAAGAAAGAACGTCGCAAATTTGAGAAAAAGAAGCTTAGAAAAAAGGTTCCTCAAGTCCCAGATTGAATTCGGTCAGGCTTTCCGATATTGTCGTCGAGACATAGAATCCCCTAATGAAGAGAAGGGGAAAACGAGATGTACAATCGCTGACAACGATGTTCACTAGTTAGATAATGTTGGTTTTCCGTAATGTACAGGCTCTCCTAATGGAACGGATTAGAAACGAGGTGGGTGCGCTTATTACGTGGACGCAGTACGCAAGGTATGATTGAAAAAGGAGCATCCACAGAGAAGAGAAGAATGAAATGTGCCAATCACATGAAACGAGAACGGGTATGTTGTGTCAATGCGGCAACGATATGACTGTTACTAATGACAGAGAATTACAAGGTAAGTGGTACGGAGTAGGGGCAGTGATCGGCGTACAGAGACTCGATGGGACGTTCATACCGGTGTTTACAAATGCCTGGTTCCGCGCCATGCGCTTTGCAAAGCAATCCTCCGAGCCTACATTCGTCGTAGAAAGCGATGAGCTGGGTTTGTACATATTTTTGGGATATTGCATACCTGATCAAAGGTGATTGCCCCGGAGCTTAATCCAATTTTTTGCACTCCATCATCATCATCGAACGCTACACCAGTTTTCGCGCCATCATCATCGTCCTCATCATCAGAGTCTCCCACTCCTCTCATTCGACCAAAAGAAGAACCAACACGCCCAGATTTCATTGGTGACCCAAAGGTCGGTGCTGAGACGGCGGAACCGAACATTGGATGGGTGGCAGGCTTAGCTTCGAATGTAGCGAAAGTCGATACAACTTTTCGTGGCGGTGAGGCAGATTTGATTGGAGATCTCGTGATGGATGGGTATGAGACTCGAGATGGTGCGTAGCGAGCAGCCAGATACTTCTCCGTGAAACGAGAACCTTTTACCTATTGGAATGTCCAGTAGAGTAGCTGAGTGAGTACAGGCTAGAAAACCGCCAACCACGCACCTTCTGCAATTGAGGACGCGCATCTTTGATAGTAGGTGCATTGGCCCACACTTGGACGTTGTGAATGGCTTCGGGTGTCTCTCGATAGATATTCTCCACCACAAGCTTCTGGGTGCTTTCGTTCCGGAGCAGGAGTTTCTCGTGAAGCTCCTTAGCAACATCATCGACACTCTCATTACCCCCGAGAATGCGGTGGGCGACGGCTTGACCGACTTCTTGAATGATACGCTCCATATCCAAGTTCTCCAGAACACTGCCAATAATGGCATGTGATAAAAGATTCGCAGTCGTAAGGGGTAGCATTAATCCAGATGTTATTCCAGTGAGTGCTTGATAGAAGTCCGTAGCATGCTGCAAATCCAGTGTGTGAAGGAGAGTAGCACAGACTCGAGGGGAACGTGCTTACAGTATATCCACTAAGAGCAGGTTCGCATGCAACAAAGAACTGAGGAAAGAGGTGAATGAG